ATCTACCAACCTCACAGTTACTGCCCGGCCTCTGCGCCCTCTCGATCAACCTCTGCATATTCGACCCGGCCCCAGAAATCAGGATGCCGACGCGGATTTTACGGGTCTCGCGCACGTATTTCGTCAGCTTGAAGGCGTTTTCGAGGTTTTTGTAGGTTATTAGGGCCTCTGAAGCAGAATAAAGAGTCTCGTATGGCTAAAAACCTGAAGCTCTCTCAATAACGCTGCCAATCCGATAGGCCGATTCTCCACTTTGGACTAGTCGGCGCTGAACTTCATCAGCTTTCTCTTTAGAAACGACCAGTGTCATCCCGAGTCCACAATTAAATGTGCTGAAAACTAAATGCATTTTGATAGCTCAAGTGGTATTTTAATTATTATAATTCAATAAATTAGACGGTTTTAGGTCTATTGAAATGTTCTCCGTTAATGCATTCGTACCGAAGTAATTCCTTCGCCTCCACCGGACCCATCGACCCAAGCCAATCGAATATCTCGTGCTTTTCCCAAGCCGACGCGTCAATTTCAAGCGCTACGTTTCCGTCTTTATCCAGAACCCTTGCAGCGTTTTCTAAAACATTTTTTATATCATCTTTACAAACCAATTTCATACCTGTAATCCCTCCTCCAGTAATGTGAGCGGCAGCTTTGATCAACCCTTCTTTCATCAGTGGAAGTACGGATCGGACGTAGATTCGTGTGGGTTTTAGCATTAGTCCGCCTATTTAATTTTAATGTCAAATTTATAGGTGGTAAATTACCAAAAGTGTCTTTTCCCCAGGGTACCACATTATTGTAGCGGATTTTGTTGACCCTAAGAATTTTTCGCACCAATGAAAAGCCATTAGAGTGCAGTCCGTTTGATTTTAGGCCCAAGACGACATCACCGGGTTCGATTCTAAAATGCGAGTATTTTAAAGAAAGCCAGAGGCTATAAAATTCAATTTTTCCAAAAAATTATACTTTGAAGTCTCCGGCAAATACGGCCAATCCGAATCTCTAACGGCAATCGCACACCCGGCCAAATCCCATTGTTTTGGGAGGTAGACGCCGGGCATTTCAGCTGTTTCCCCGCCTTAATATGGCTTTTTAGGTGGTTTTTAATAAAAATATTATTTAATAACTATATTTTAAAGCGCTCAATGATGTGAAAATAAAGATTTTTGACCCTTTAATTAACTGTTAACCTGGAACTTACCAACAAGCGAGCAATCCGCCTCGATACACGCTTCCGCAATACTTTTCACAACCTAAAATAGCTTTAAATTTCGTTTTCTATTTTTTTTTTACATCCGAAGCCCGTTTGCGGTCGAGCTTCCCGCACACAAAGTAGTCCAGGAAAGCGATCGGGGCGGCGCAGTGGCACAGCACGTCATTCACGCACATTCCTAAAATTCACTATAATGGCCAAGCTTTTGGGGCGGATATTCCGGGCGTCTCTCAATATCAATATGCCGCAACTCATTATGCTGTCAGAATTGTCATTACGTGGAGGTTGTCGACATAATGACAGCAAGATCACCCACCAACAACGTCGTATCCCACACCAGAATAATCCCCAACCGCATCGGCAATTTCGATTTTCGTGCCGACTCCATCGATACCGACAACAATCTGAAAGATCAGCAATTTTAGCATTATTTGCATTTTTAATAGCTTTCTTTATTGTTTTTAGAACCATTATCTCAATTTTTTGCTTAAATTATTTTGTTTTACTATTTAAAGTTGCCGAATTCCAAAATCCGCGACATTCAAAATACGCAGTTAGACGTTTCATAAACCGCATGAGTCAGGTTCCTTTTTCAACACCCAGAAAGTGTAACAAATTCCTATCTTTACGAAAATCTGAAAGCAGCCCCCGGTCTGAATAGGTTGAACGTCTGCATAGACTGTTTTACCGTTTTTCTTAACCAGGATTTTCGCTACTTGCCATTAAATTACGAATTAAATACTTTTCCGGTTTGCCGAAATCCAATGTCTGGAAATTTAAAATGCCCGGCTTCATTTTATGCATCGAAATAGTTTTATGCATCAATTGCCACACCTGACAGTCTTATTTATCACACTCATCGCTTGTCTGTATAAAAATGTCGACACTAAAGTTTCAAAAATAACCACAGGCTTAAAAAATATAAAAATGTCGACAAGAAAGTTACGAAAATCGTTCGTTTACGAAACTCGTAAAAAGCCTATAAAAATCTCGAAACCACTCGCTTACGAAGGTCTTATAAAGTTCTAAAAATGTTCGAACTGTTCGAAAAAGTAAACGCTTCGAAACTCCCTTGCTTATGAAAGCGGCCAAAACGTCTCCAAAAACCCCGATATTCTACTTTCGAAACGCCAAATTTCGGAATTACGAATCCCCCAGTGAATTCGGATTATTATTTCCAGACACCCGTGAAATATAATCCCTCTCAATACCCCCTTCTCTCCTACTAATATGCCCTTTCTGCATAATACCGACACGCAGACGGGCGCTAGTCGAAAATCGATAAAGCCGGCGGGAAGCCCGCCCCTCCCCCGCCCGCCCTGTCTGCCCGCAATGCCGACGTTTCGACAACAATTTTCGTCACCCCCCCCTTTGGCGATGTTTTGGCCCCCGATTTCGCCATTTTTGCCGCTTTCTTTGGCCAGAATTTATTCTTATATCCTTACTTTGCAATTTTATCGTTTCTTCTTCCAAAATATTAAAATATTATTTTCAGGCCCGAAAAATGATGCACGAAGAAGAGGAAGTGGAAGCGGAAAGGATGGAATTTATTCTGAGTCAAAAGCCGACGAGGAAGGTGAGGTGTTTTTACACATTTTTTGGTTTAAAATGAAGGTTTTCTAGCAGTTTTTGTTTTTAAAACTTTGGATACAATAAAAAGAAGTTCGGAAACTAAAAGATAACCTAGCCATGTTCTAGTTTTACCTTTATATACACTTTTATTTGCTATTAGAACTTTTATAACTGCTTTATTGTCTACTTTCTGCAAGTAAACTACAAATTTCGGCTTTTGAGCCTTCAAAAATGAAAATTTCTACTGTTTTTAACGATTGTTTGTAGCCATGGACTCAAAATTTCGTAAACACTTTTAATTTTTGCGCCTATAGTTTTAAAAATAGTTATAATTTTGTTTTTAGCCCGGCTCGAAGTACGGACGGGTGGCCCTCTTGCACGGGCACAGGTTTAATCTGAACCGCGCGAGGGACGGCGAGAACCAGAGGTTGTACTGGAAATGCGCGAAGAAGGGATGCCCCTGCCGCGTTACTTCTGATGCGGGTGGCTGGGTTCTAGGAATATCTAACAGCCATCAGCACGAGCAGGAGGTAATTTTTCCGGAAATAACAAGCCTGCGTTTCGCTACGCTATTCTTTCATATAAAATACCTTTCTTTAAGCTTACGCCATTGCCCGATTCGACGACTTTTCTCGATCTTCCTGGATTGCTGTTTGGGTCCGATGACCAGGTTGGTATAATTAAAGCGGATTTTGAAACGTTTTTTAGATACCCCCAATCTACGATGCGGACAACAGCCTATTCACACACAATGGCGCCGCGGTCAAAGAGGAGCCCGATGCGAGCGAATTGGCGGTGGGGAATTTTATATATTAGTTAAAGTTAATGAGGGTTATACTTTAGTTTATTTGATTGTCAATAATCAGCCCAAGCAGCTTAAGATTTTCGATATTTTCGCTATTTTTTAGTATTTTTTAACGCACGAGCATCAAAAAAATTCTACGAACGGTTTGAATCACAGCTCAAAAGAATGAATATAGAAGAGTTATATTTATTTAACTTTTGTCAAAAAGTATCCATATATCCCGTTTAGTTCCCCCTCCGTCAACCGAAACCGGAACCGGAAGACGTTTCAACGACCGAGCTTGTTATGCCGGTCCCTGACCCCGTAATCCCGCAGCTGGACCTCGAGAAGCGGATTTTTATTGGTAACTTTGCAAAATTGTTTTCAATTTTTTTTCAGGTGATAATGAGATCAGCAACTCGCTCGGCGAAATTATTACCGCCCTGAAGCTGCGCTTCCCGCCCGGTGACCCCGACGTTTGGATGTTTGTCAGCCATTTGGTCGAGGATCCCGCGAACCAATGAGCGGAATTTTCGATTGCTTTTTTGCATATGAAATTAGTTCATTACTTTTGTCCGTGATGCTAATATTGGTGAACATTTAATACGGGTTAATAAAGAATTTTGGACATGATTTTGTCAAAATAGCAAAAGTTTCGGTTTGAAATCAAGGTAATCCTCTTCACCAACCTGAGACGCATCGCTGAATCCAGCTTTTCGGAAATCCACGACCGCACCAAAACCTCCAATCTAATTTTTTATTTTAGAAAATCCGGTTCTAATTACCTGACTGGTCCCACTTTTTAGGGTTTGCTTCACAAATCCCTTAATATCTTCGACAAATTGATTTCCCTCGGTGATATCGACGCCAGAATCACCATAGGTGAGGGAATAATGCGGATTTCTAAATTCAAAATCTTACTTTTACTTTCGAAACGTTAGATACCCGATCGTTCGGTTGATCCCAATATCCAGGCGGTAGTATTTGCCCTCGAATTCGATAGTATCCGCCGCTTTCAAAGCCCTTTTTCGAGCTTCATCCAGCGTTTGCGCCAGTGCCGTAACGCAGAGGATTCTGCCACCGTTTGTTACCACTAAAATGTCGCTTTCCACACAAACTCTCTAGCCCGCCTTCTATTGCGTCGTTAGAAAGTTTGAATTCGCACTTACACTGCCCATTAACAATCGTTGTACCAGCATGAAAAGTGACGACGTCATTGGTATCAAGTGGAATAACTTAAGAGAAGTATATTAAAACAGCGTAAACTTTACCTTTTATAGCCGTTCCCTTATCCCCTTTGTACGGATAATCTTTTGATGCCAAAATGACCCCACAAGCCTGCTCGTTCTTCCATTTAACTTGGATCTGATCGAGGGTCCGTGTCACGCAATGATGCAAAATTTGATAGAGGTCTGTGTCCAGGAGACGCATTAGGATCTAAGAAGCAAAATTATTCAAGTTTGGACCGAGCTTACCTCGGTCTCCGGATCTCCAAAGCGGCAGTTATATTCGAGAACATAGGGGCCTTTGGAGGTGATCATAAAACCAGCGTAAATAATGCCTTATGATAATTTAGCTAAACGCCATAAAGTCAATCAAACCGGTATAGAAAATCCTCTGCTCTTGCAGACCCTTGATCGTTTGGTGGAGTATAGCGGAAATTTGCTCATCAATTGCCTTGGGTACCGTAACCGGTCCGACGACGCCCATTCCTGAAACATTAGGATTTGAGTGCAGAGAGAGAGAGAGAGAGAGAGAGAGGGAGGGAGAGTGAGAGAGAGCGAGACCTACCTCCCGTGTTTGGCCCTGCGTCCTTTTCCAACAAGCGCTTATGATCTCGAATCAATGGCATTCGGGAAAACGTGGATCCATCCGTGAAGCAAAGTGCCTAAAACGCACCCTACCGTTTCATAAATAAGACTTACCGAAACTTCATATCCATCCAATCGTTCCTCCAAAATAATTTTAGAACCGCCTTCCCCGAATTCTCCCTAGGATTCGATTTTTTTGGTAAATTTCGCCCGTATCTCAAATTAAAATTCTTACCTGAAGAATATTTCTGGCCGCTTCACGAGCTTCTTCTTTGTTCGTGCACACCACAACACCCTTCCCGGCTGCCAGCCCATCCGCTTTCACTACGATACCGTCCCATGAACACCTAAAAACAGATATTCTTGCAGAATTCTCCGGCCCACCTCTCAATATAATTCAGCGCATCCGCTAGCAAAGTAAATTCCGCGAATTCAGCAGTAGGGATCCCATTCTGTTGCATGAAGGTTTTAGCAAAGGCTTTCGAGGTCTAAAGCAAAGTGTGGCTGGTTATTTTGCTATCAAAAATCCTTTAAAGTACGCCACGACTATAACCTTACTTCTAGTCGTGCTCCTTCCTGAGTTGGTCCAAAAATTGCGATACGATCCTGTAGTTTGTCAACAATTCCTTGAGCTAGAGGTATTTCCGGGCCGACAACGACCAGATCTAGGCCATCTTGGGCACAGTAAGCCAAGATCGCCTCTGGATCAGAGATGTCGAGATCTGAAACGGTTATGTTTGACATAGCCGTTTAACAGGAACGACACTCACCAACGGCTCCAAATGGGCTTCCGTTTCCTGGGGCTATTCTCACTTTTTGGACGGTTTGAGCCAATTTCCAGGCGATAGCATGTTCGCGACCGCCAGAGCCGAGGATTAGGATTCCGGACGTCATCTAGAAACTTCATGGATATAGGATACAGGCACCGAAAGACAGACAGAGAGAGAGAGAGAGAGAGAGAGAGAGAGAGAGAGAGAGGAGAGAGCGACGGGGCGAGATAACAAGGAAAAATAGCTAAAAATTCGAAAAGCAAAATCGATACGATCAATAGCGTCTTCTGACTACCGAGGAAGCGCTTATCTAGTACAAAACTAGATCCGAAGCGCTAACATTTTCAGAGTGGAACGTAAAAGTCCAAATTACGATGCGGGATCCCGGCGTATTGACACAAAAAGTGCAACGCTGGACTGTTTACATGGAAAAAACAGGCAATCAAGCCGTATTGAACGTTCAGAAGAGCGTAGAGGAAATTTGAGCTCGTTCTTAACAAAATTTAATTAAACAACCATAATAGGTAGAAGATAGCGGCAAAATAGTTAAACCGAGCTAGGAAAGGGCTCCTTTATGCAAATGATTGCGAGGGAAGGGGAGCACGTGGGGTGCTGGGGTATCCCAAATGAGATCATTTTCTCTGATATGCCGGACTGCCCCAGGCCATTTGACCCCCGGCAGCCTGGCGACGAAAACTCTGGGTAGCAAAGATCAAAGGGGAAACGGCCGAAGGAGTAGTGTACCGTACTATGATTTGTGATAAGTGATTCTTACATTGTAAGGACAGGTTGCCCCTGCAAAAACGGAGAAGTTCTCTGAAAAACTGAACATGAATCGATAGGTCGTTGTTTTTTGGTAAATACGAAAACAAGATACCTTCCATCCCGTAATAATACTTTTTCGACCCCATTGATTTCAACAATTCTGAGCACGAACTTCCCGAAACCAGTCGCCCCCTGACCCCCTCCAAAGATTTTATCCTACGCCCTGAAGGTTTGGGGAAAGAGGCATTTCAGCTTCATCTCTTCGTCTCCTTTTTTGTCCCTGTTGTTTGCTATGGTCTGTTTACGATTTGTCCCGAGGTTATTTTTAAGCATTTATTAAAAGTTACAGAAATTTTACAATTGTGAATTTTAGCTGTGGTTGCCTGACTATCCCTATAATGATATCACTGGTATTTGGTTGTATAGCAATAATCTGCTATTTTCAACTGCTGGCTGATCAAATATGGGTCGAATTGGTAGCTTTTTCTTTGTGAAAAAATGTGAAAGTGAAAATGAAAAAATGTCCGTTCAGCATTCCGGTTCGGAGTATCAGAAAACAATGGATATTATGCAGGTAGGCTGCAAAATTTTTTAGTTTTTAATCGTAGTAATTTCAAAAGGGTTTAATATTGCAATATTTGAAAGAGTTTAATGTTACAGAAGCAAACTCTCAACGAACAACGAATTTCTGATTACCAAAATCGATACTGCCCGGCGAATGAATCGTGTGAAATCGTTCAGCCGTTTATACCATTTGAAAATAGACACATGGTGGGTTTATTGGTATAATTACTAGCTTCCTGATTGCCGTAATTTAGCTTAGGCTATTTTAAGTCAATTTAAGCTATTAAAATGGGCTTACTGTAAAGTGTTTTTACTCAAGTTGGAGTTTCGATTCGGAACCAAGTGCATCTTGTGCAGAATTTTTTGCTGATTCCGAATCCGCTTTCCAAATTTGCTGCGGTGGTTTATTCTGAAAGTTATACAGCAGTTATGGTAGTGTTTTTCACCAAAATCAAGGAACCCTTATCGTTTTCGATTTTCCCGATCAATTTCAACTTCAAAATTGGCTAGAGATTGGCTAGACAAGCATCTTGCAGTCAAAACAAGCTTTTTTATAAAAACAGTTAAGTGCAGTTTACCCCTCATGGGTACAGGTGTGTAAAGTATACCAAAATACTCGCCAAAGCAAGGCGAACATTTTGGTATACTTTAGACACCTGGGGATGAACAGGGAGCCATGTTACACAAGGTGGGTACCGGCTGGGGGGGGGGGGGGGTAAACTGGACTCTAACCATTAAAATGTCACTTTCAGCTTGCCCCTAGCTTCGGCATATCCGCTTGCGTAATCTACAAAAATTTCTCTACGGTTTTGACCTCGATAATTTGCTATCTCTACGACGTGGTAGCTTACAAAGCCAATGTTAAAGACATGATGGAGGATACGTATAATACACGGTATTTCTAAAAATTCCAAAAAATGCTTAATTAAGTAAATTTTTAGATTTTGCCACACCAAAAATGAATATTTTCAATTCGAGCTCCGAAACCATTATAAACCGATCGATCCGCTCAGGAATTACTTGAATTACTTATTAACTCGAGAACCGTTGGAGAGGCTAATTTCCGGATACGTTAACAAATGCCTGGGGTGGGCGGAAATCGGCGTTTTCATCAATTCAGCGGGTTTTAGCGAGCATACAAATTGCTACGGCTGTCACGACAATATTACCTGTTTTATGGAGCGTCAATATTTAAGTCTAAAAACGATGTCCGACCAGGGGTGGGCTCCGATTGAAAATTTGACCGTTGAAGATGCCCATTTTGCGCCGCAGAATTGGTAGGTTCAGGAATGTCTATACCGTTTTTATGGGTTGTTTTCAAAATTTCAAAATTTCATTTCAATTTTATGACGTTGGACCTTCCTAATGCTATTTTGCATAAAAATCTCTTAAAAACCGCCAAAATACTATTGAAAAATGTCGAAATTGCAAAATTTCGGCATTATGATCACCATTTAATATTTTTTGAATTAATAGCTTTGGATGCCACCTTCCTTTTAAAGGCACTGTGAGCTAAAGCAACACTACATGGACTACAAAATCCTCCGCTACTCCCCGGTGGCTACCGGTCGGCTGCTGGAAGTGATGTTGGCAGATTTTAACAAGTTAGGGGTACCGAAAAATGTGACGGACGATATTTGGCATCAGGTTTTTTTAAAGATGACGATTCTCGAAATAGTATCTAGGTACTCGGCCGGAAAACCTTCCATGCCACTTTTTTCTCACCTGACCGGGTGAAATATACAAAAGCCATTGACGATAGTCCCTATTTGAAGTCGTTAATGGTGAAAATGTTTTACCATGATTATGTACTTTTTGGATATCCGTTACCGGATATCGATTTGTTGCCAAAAAATGAGACGGTAATGATGAAATAAATAATACTATACATAGAAAAACCTTTACATAAATTTTACGTTCAGCTTCTTGAATTTTTTTCTAAAAGCAGGGGCATACGCTACATCATAAATCCAAACAACACAAAATCATAGTAGAAGATTTGCATAAATTTGTTCAGCAGCTCCTGGCTGCCCAGCAACTCATCGAGGTAAATGTCCTAAAAATAATTGATCTACCGTATCCCCGGACAGACCAATTTTGAGTGGTCCCTCGTTTGATGCGGCGACTTTAGGTGCAGCTCGGCTTCGATGTATTTTAATTGGCTATAATTTTTGAGTGTTTAATGTTTACACATACCTTTCTTCAACTTGAGCTTGCTTTAAAAAATTTAAAAAGTCCCTTCTCAGACGGGACTGCTCGTCGGGGCTATTTAAAAATCGTATCACCTTCATATGGGGGAATTGGAGAAAGTTGCAAAACCTAAAATGAACAGATTTGGATATATCTTAAGGAAAACTACTTTTTGCATAGGAAGCTACTTGAATATTGTGAAAAACTGCGCTTAAACCCACCAATTTTGAGGGTAAAAATGCCTGCCCTCAAAGTCGATCTCATCAAAATCCACGGTCGTCAAAAGTTTTCGAGCATTAGCATAAAGTTTGTACAGAAAGCAAGACAAACTCCCGTTGCAGCCATAGCAAAAATGAGCGTACTTAGGCTCCTGGCTTCTTCTATAAAAAAATGTGTAATGTACGATAAATATGGACTTACACTATGCACTTGTCATAAAAACCTGACATGAAGCGCTCGAGAGGGTGACGGACTATCGCTAGCAGATTCCAATCCGAGATGTTTTCAGTGCTGTTTGATGGCCGATCGATTTCATCACCACAAAACCTTGAATTTACTTAATTCACAAAACTACAGTTTAATGGTTTCAAAACAACAACTTATCTTCGCAAATCGCAAAAAATTCCAATGTCACCTTGTTTCCCAGGTTTCTGTGTGTATACTCCGGTTGCTCGCGATAAAACGCTCCCCGCGGTCCAAATAGCACACGGTGGCCGTCAGGGTGGTCGACATGGTTTTCGGGATTTTACAGATTGCGATCTTCATGTGGTCTGTAATCTAAGAACCATAAAACTAGGTCTTTTAATATTTGAAAGTACTATGAAGCTTGGTCGTATCGGGGCGAAGGGCTTGAGACAAGGGCTATCATGGCCAATTCGGCAGATTTCAGCGGCATTTAGGAGGATCTGGAAAGCAAATTACACAGGGAAAATCAACAAAAAACCTAAAATAACCTATCAAGCTTTCATTGGCGGTCTCGGCTTGTAAAGGCTTTTTTATCACAAAAATCTACAAACCTTACTCCGATCCGATACTTCCGCTTGTCCCAATCCACAAATTATCGCAACTCGAGGGCGATAGGAGCTAATAAAAATTCGGGTAAGCATTAGACAAGCGATGATCAACCCGCTCCACCGAACCAGCGCACCATAAAACATTTCCGGCCAAAGGTTCAGTGTATCGGGACTCCGAATGTGCCATTTTCAGGCTATTACGTGCCGGATCGACCACCCGCTGGGCCCGTGTCTGGCCCACGCATCTTTTTGCATGAAATGCAATGTTGAGGAACAGGTCGGTGAGCATGCATAGGATGGCGTGGATCGGTGATCATTTGCGGCCTGCAAAAATCGTAAAATAAAATTGGGTTTCACGCGACGAAAATGGAATGCGAGAATTTAATTTTTGGCTGAAAATTGACACCCATTTCGAAGGGCGGTTTTTAAAGGGATAAGGAAGCCCCAATAGATCAGGGCTCGTTGGCGGCGCTTGGCTTCCTGAAAAAACGATTTCGCAACCAAACCAAAAGACCAACCAAACCACTTCCTCATTAGGCATGCCTTGCTCATCCCTTTAAAGGATTCTTGTTTAATTAAACCGTGCCTTCGGTCGATAAAGAGACATAAATCAAATTTTCTAGTAGCCGCCAAAGTAGCAATTTATCATTGTTTTTCAGTTTTTTCAACAGGAAACTTTTCCAGCTACTTTTCAGGCGATTTGGCGTGAATTGAATACGTATTGAAACAAAACTTTAAAAAGCGCATGTATCTAAAATTCATTCGTAGTACATTTTTGAAGCCAGGAATTTGGACCCGTTTCAGCTTCGTCCAGGCATCCCAGGAACATTTTGCATGCAGGCCCAAAACCCCGCCGTAGATTGGCCGATACGTCACACTACCTCCTCAACTTTTTCCATCCCAAATTTCTATCCCTCTAACCTTCACAAACATCTCCAGTGTGGCCGGATCATTCGCTTCCTCCCCCCTATTCGTGGGCCCTTCAACAGCGAGGGATGTTGGGTGGGGGCCCGGGCCGATACCGTAGTGTTTGTGTTTCACACGCCTTCCCCCCACCCTAGATCCCCCTCCTTCAAGCGGGCGGCCACTTCTCCGCGGTCCGCCAAGAATCGGGCCCCCCTGATACAAACAAGTCATGGAATGGGGGGGGTTAGAAGGCAACGACGGCTCATCAGAATCACACGGAACCGGGGAGGATTTGGGGGCATAACACTTCAGGGTAGGGATGAGTCATTTGGGGAAATTTGGGGTTCTGGGGTTTAAAGGGATTGGAAAGACAAGAATCTTATTCAATCCTGCTTTTGGAAAGTTGCCAAGATCTTATCAAGATCAAGATTTGTGTTGTTCGAATATCCTTTAGGTTCTACTGCCTATAAAAATTTTTTTAATACGATAAAAAGCTAAAAAAGCTAAACAATTCTAGCTTTTGCGACAATTCAGGATACTTCCTATTCTCCAGGCTTTTCACTACGCAACGCTCCAAATGATGAGTATTTTTCCCAGCCTTTAATGGCACACTTGGCACACTTTAAGTCAAACTCAAAAACGCCAGGTGGTCTCCGTTTTTAAAAATAGCATTTGAATTTTTGTGTATGTTTTTCCGTTACGCAACAGCTTGTCTACTGTATAATGCCCTCGAAAAAGTGACCGAGTCGGTCACGGATCTCCCAGGGATTACAGAGAGAGAGGGAGAGAGAGAGAGAGAGAGGGGAGAGGGAGAGAGAGAGGGAGAGAGGGGGGATGTGCCCACCTATCACGTTACATGCAAATATCCTCGGTGCCAAATATGGCCCTAACCGACTCGCGATGCCTTATTCGATTGTGTGGATTATGCAACGGGCCAATTGACAGCAAAGCCCTAGTCGTGTGGTGTCTCTATCGCTCTGTCTCTATAAGCCCATGCCCAAATATTGGGCCATTGACGACGATTTGAGGGTGGAGGAGGGTGGGGGGAGGGGGATTGAGCTTGCGAGCATGCGCGCGCAACTTTCCCTCGCCACTAGAGACAATGTCCCGGTATGGTATCAGAGGTTCGAAAATTTAGACAGAGCACTTTAACATCGGGCTTTTAAACTGGTTAAAAATCTTCATTTTGACGCGTTTCCGTTAAGTTCGGTCAGGGAAGTTGCTGCCCATTTACTTTTATTGAAATAAAAATTAAAAAGCGGACAAGGTAGTGCGCCTCCGAATGATCCAAATTTACGCAAGTCAAAACCTCGATTTATGGACAATAAGGTAGCCAAGCGGAAAACATCTAAAAAAAGGGTAATGGCAGCAGAAAATTTCGAACCACTACAGCCTGCAGCAGTGATTTTTGCGCCGTCGAAGCCTGCCGACCAAACATCATCCTTCAGAAAGAATTTTCTAGTAAATAGGATTGTTGCTGAAAGTCGCTAAAATCCTTTAAAAATACGTACTGCAACTTATTGCCCGAAAAAAAACTTGAAGTCCGAATGCTGGCTCGAATCTGAAAGTGAGTCAAGCTGGCCGGTCATTTTTAGGTTCCAGGTAACCTTATCAATAACAGTTAATGCCGAGTGATACTTTTTTATTATAAACCTCGACGTTCCTTAAGACTAAGGTTGTTTCCCTGATCTCCCACACCTTCTTCTGAAACGGGTACGGTGGCCTCTGGAGGGTGGTCCAGGGGGGGCCTGGGCCCTCGATTGGTCTTTCCCATGACGCTCCGCCCATTCCGCGCACAGCTTTGGTTTCGGGCTGGGGGTGAAACAATAGTTGCCCAGATTTGAGGAGCCATATGGCATCGACATAAAATTTGATCAACTCTTTCTTTGTAACAGTTTAATCTTTTGAGTTTAGTGGAGTTAGGGTGCGAAAACCGCCTAGAACTTAGGAACCTCTAAACTTCATGGTCTATGGTTGTCTTTTACTATGCTCACGTCTTTTTCCATCCATTCCCGTCATTTGTGAGAATTAGCTACTTTATCCGTGGTTTTCCATTAAATTCTCACCAATTCCCATCGACACCACTGTCTGCCCATCTGTATCTTTATACCTCAAAAAGTAAAGAATAGGAAATTTCCCAGATTCTGCATGACTTCTCGCCGACCCTGGTCCATCCCATTAACTTCCGTGGTTCCCATACCTACATTTACCGATTTTCATCCCTAATTCCAGCAATTACATACTCGGTGGTGTATCAAAATTCTTACTACCCTATAAATACCGTAATTTAGATTCAGCATGGACATGATGCTTGGGAACCTGACGTTCCAGTTTCCGGGCAGCCGGCTGGAGCGCGAGCGGAAGCCGAAATGCGCTCGGTGCCGGAACCATGGATTTGTGTCGTGGCTGAAGGGGCATAAGCGGCACTGCAAGTTCAAGTGGGTTATCTTCGGCGAAACCTTGAATCAGTAGTGGAATGAGGGTAGCTTTTTCAAAGTTCCAAGAATCTTTCTCGCGGCCTGATGCTATCATTTGGGCAGAATTTTTTTTGGTGAATTATTTGCTTAGCCACCTACAGCTCGCAAAATAATCTTCCCTGTTCCTGGGCTACGGTAGCCGACACCTAGCTGGCTACACCCATCCCATCCATCCTCTTCCCCCAATTTACATACTGGCTGTGTCAATACCCCCGGCCGGCTCCCCGGCTATTTTGCCAGCCGCTGATTATGCGACACATTCGGCGCCGCTCATATGTGTGAAAATTGAAAGCTATAACTGGGGGTAACAGGATGATAAATATGAAAAATTTTTGTAGGGATTGCACTTGCGAGAAATGCGCTTTAATCGTGGAACGGCAGCGGGTGATGGCAGCACAAGTTGCCTTGAAGCGGAAGCAGGCGGCGGAGGATGCGATTGCTCTAGGTAAGGTTGTGATTATTTGTAGTTTGTAGCTATGTTGGTAAATTTTAAGCTGGCATTCCGATTTTTACAAGTTTAATAACTTTCCATACTTTTCAGGACTTCGCGTTGTAGCTGGCCAATCACTAAACCGGCTTCCACAAGGCCCAGTATGGCTAGATGGTGAAGAAAACGAAGATGAGGATGATGAGCAGGAGTCAGCAGGTAACAATTGAAAATTCCAAACACTTTTTTGTATTTCGAATTCGTCATTAACAATTCATTTTAGACGCAGAAGCCCTAGACGACTCGAAAAGTGATGATCAACATCATTGCGCTACTCCAAAGATCGATCTGGACAAGGAGGGAACCGATACTTCAGAAGAAATCTCACCTCCACCCTTGAAAAAGAAGCTTACTGGTGGGTTTGCAGCTTATTAAGTACCACTTTTGATATTAGCAGCCCTGAAAAACCACCCAAAACTGGATTTTTCAGAAAAACGTGAATCCCGTAAAGAAAAACCACGCCAGGGCCGCTTCAATCCCCTTGAACTTCTTGGCCATCTGTTTGAAGATCAGGAAAAGCGGGTTTTAGAAGTGGTGCTGGAAGGTATGGATACCTCTGGATTCCTTAGAAACTTTCTGATAACTTAAGGATGCGCTGGAGATGTTCTTCAGGCAATCGAGCATTTCGTGAGCGCCAGAAAATTCAAATCCGAACCGTTGCCGGAAAGTTTGCGATCTCCTGTCCCTAGTATGCAACATCCTCAGGTAAATTAAGCCAAAAAACCGTAATGAATCAAATTCACTATAGAAAAAAATCAATTCAAATCCTAATTGCCCAAGACGTCAAAAATAGATTTTTTTGTGTTTTAAAAGCTCTATTCTCCGATTTAACAAATAAAAATCGAGGATCCTATAAAAATTTAGAGCGAGACGCTGGAATAAAAAAAATTATTACGGTAATTTCCATATTACAGTTGCCCGACTTCTCGCCTATACTCCCAAAAACACCAACATTCTCGATGGAATCCCTGCTCGGGCCCTCACTAAATTCCCTCCACACCATGCGACCCCCATTCCCCATCCAATGGCCCCTGTTTCCATTCCCCCAATTAAACTTGGCAAATTTCCGCCAGTTTGCCCAGAGCGATGCCTGCTCGAGCAAGTCGACCAGCCCCAATACGAGTGTATGAAGTGTATTATTGCGTTGTTTGACATAATCTTGAAGCTTGACCGATATTTATTTGCCCTTTCACTGTCACAAATCTGTTTCCAGTGCAATTTTTTCGGTTTATGCAGATAAAAAACTAGAAAATCGACTACCCACTATGGCCTACGAGGCGCTACTCTTTGCATAATTCCGCATTCCACATAGCAACAGTATACACAGCCATATGGACCGGAAGCGGGGGCCTCGGATGGCCTTTGGCATGCATTTCGCGAGTTGGGATAAACCGAGGAGTGGCCAAATGAAGCCGGAAATTGCGAAGGGCCCCCCAGCTAGGGGGAATCGGAGGCTCGAATTTCGCGACTGTGACTTTGGGGATCAAGTTTGAAGCAGCGTCTGGGGGATGGGGATTTGAAAATGTGAATTTGGGATCTAGGGGGCTAGGCATTGTTTTTATGGAGATTAAAATCAGCTATCATCTCTTTATTTCTTGCTCTTTGTCTCTCGCTCCCTCTCTCTCTCTCCATCTCTCACTCCCTCTCGCTCATTCTCTGTCTCTCTCTCTCTCTCTGGCGCCCTTCGCGCACTCGCCCAGCTCATTCCCCGAGGTGTCAAATCTACTGCGCAACCCACTTATCCCGACTCAGCGTGGCAACATTCCATTGCGTAACCGATTGGGCAGTCAATACGGGGAAGAAACTTACTAAATAAAGTTCGGTTGGTACCGCCTATAAGGGAACTTCCGCATATGCTTCTTTTAAGAGCAACGCCAAAGCGTTGAAACTCAAAGATCAAAGCTGAGAAAGCTGAGAAAGGAAAGTACTAAAAAAATGAGTCATTATTGCCAATATCACAAAATTGCTAATCGAATCTTTGCGTTAGGAGGCTGATGAGTTGCGTTGTGAGAATTGGATCGACGTTGTGGTTGCTTGGGGCTTCCCAAAAGCCTTTCGCCTCAGGTTTCTGAATGGATTGGATGGCTTTGCATCCTCAAAAATGGTTCTAACGAATTAAGATTGAATTTGAGAAATTAAAAATCATTACCGATCCATCGCAAGCCCCACAAACGCACACATCCCGTTCACCGCATTCCAGTAGAGCATTTGGAAAAAGTTGACCGTTTTGGTGATCTCGACAAACAACAAAAACAAGGTTAAACATCAATATTCACTTAAATATTTTACCATCCAGAGGTGGTGCCATAACAATACTATCAGAAATATATTAACAAATACAATCACCGATTGGGTAAATATTTTAATCTCATTTTTATAAGTGGCGAGAGAGGCTTGCCGACGGCGACCCTGAATTCCCCTTAATTCTTAGATTTAAGATTGAATGCTTTTAAGCGACTTTCGTGGTATATAGATTTAAGACTACAGGGTGTCCCAATAAAAAAGGTCACGCTGGCATTTCGCCATTTCAAATCCGAACGACCTTAAATTTGGAACAGAGCTGCGGAAGGGAATTTAAAATGTTCACAGAAACTTTCAGCCCGATCGGTACAGTAGTTTTCGAGTTATTGTAAAAATACTGTTTTTCCCACACTTTAGCTTCATTTTTGACTTTGCATCAATTAACATCAACCTCGGCTCTAAATCACTCATTCTTCTTAACATCGGGGATGATCCCACCTTGTTAAAATTACTTAAACAACCTATTTCCAAGAAGAATTTTTACGAAATAAAAATTTTCCTGGGGTAAAAAAGGTTCGGCGCTTCATTTTTGCCAGAGATTCCAAGGCTCAATTCCGGCGAAATCCAAGTTAAAAACGTAAAATAAAGTTTTTTTTGTTATAACTCGAAAACTACTGTACGGATCGGGCTGAAAGTTTCTGTGAACATTTAAATTTCCCTTCTGCAGCTCTGTTCCAAATTTCAGGTCGATCCGATTTGAAATGGCAAAATACCAGCGTGACCTTTTTATTGGGACTCCCTGTATTTCTAAAAGTTTTATGATAAGCGTCGTGTCTTTAATATTATCAGCCATAATACCTTGACCATGACGCATATCGTCACTAAATATACTGCAAAAGCGATGGCAGTCAACGGGATTGACGTCCAAAATTCGACAGTTATCATATCGGCGCTCCAAGACTGAAAATTACAAGGTAAGTAAGGTAATAAGCAAAATACCTTGGTCATATCATATCTCCACATGTAATTATCAAATACAAAGCCGGATTTGGTCCATGAAATCACCCAAAAAGTGAACGCGTAGATGCAGGAAAAGCAGATGGCCATCTGAAGCATTGGCATTGGAGAGAGAGAGCGAGAGAAAAAGAGAGAAAGAGAGAGGGAGAGAGAGAGAGAGAGTGAGAGAGAAAAGGAGAGAGAGACCTTCCATCCATGTCTCTGCAACACTGAACCATTTTTGAAGAGCGAAGACATGATGACCAATCTTTGAAGAGCAAGAAAGAAATGCACGCCCAGCCCACCAACCCACGCAGCATTCATGGCTGTGCCAACAAGCTAAATTAAGGCATGTTTCCCAAATTTCGATAAAATACCGAAAAAAGGAATTGAAATTGCGTTTGCAGTCCTGGAAACCAGACGAGCAGCCCGTCGATGGGATGGAAGAGGAGTTGGATACAGTCGAAACAGCCGAGATTCACAAATAGCTTGTGGCTGGGGGATTTTGACATTTCCGGGTCGCTCAGCATTATCTGAAAGAATTTTAGTATAATTTTATGGATTAAATCGCAAGTTCGATTCTTTGCGTCCGAAATTAAGAAGGCTTCAGAAGGTAATAACGTGTAAATACTTAAACTTGCAAAACTAAAAAAACTTGAAACTTGAAGATGATAACTTACCCAAATTAAGTAAATATATAACGGCAATATACACAGCGGCACCAATAAGTAGACAGTCCCAACAAATATAGTCGATTCGAAGAGGGACATCTTCGAAAATGGCGCACTTAATGAAGCCCAACCAGAACCATAATCTCAAAAATTATCTAGGTGCGCCCGGGCCAAAATTCGAGATCATCTTGACGTTGCTTTCTCGCGCTGGTGGGCTGGGGTTGGTTTTTTGAAATTAGCAGCACCCCGGGGAATTTCGAGACTGAACGGTCAATCAAGCCCCGGCCAAACTCTTTAGGAGTGGAAAACCTCGAAAAGATTTTATTTTTGGGTAAACAGAAAATTGAGGGCATTATTAGTTATCAAAAACAAAAAAGACAGATATTGCTGGGGTGAGGTAAAGATTGGAAATCAAGGAAGCAGAGGTTTTAAGGAAATAACGTTGCCCTGTTTGATACCGGCGAAAATCGAGGCGAACCCGATTAATAAATACCTCGTTTCCCCATATAAGTAACGTTTTTGGTTTCTTGTTTTTCCGAACAAATCAGAAGCTGAAAATCGTAGGTCAAATCTTCTATTTTCCAGGAGTCCTGCAGTGATGGAGCGCCGCAAATTGCTTATTAGATTTGGAATCATAATATTACCGTTATCTAAGAATTTTATAAGAACTGCTTTATTTTTTACTTATTGTTTATACATTATATGCACTTTTCTTCTCTATAATTAACCCATTTTTTTCCTCGGACGCCTATCTCATGCAAATTCACCCCGTGGAGATGTCTTCCCGAATTAGGCCAATTTATAAACTGCTAGCGGTTGGGATTAGGGAGGGCAAGGATGGCGAAAGGGGCGCGTTTTATAGGGCAAGACGAATAAACGGAAGGTCCCAGCAAGACATGAATGTCCAACTGTCTTGCTATACCTTCAGATTTGCTTAAAATCAGAAATTTGGAACCACACGGAGCGAGAAAGTTAATTTAAAACTGTGCAATCCTTGAATCAAAAGCAATCTGTCACTCTCCCTGGCTCGCACTTGCTCTCACTCGCTCCATATCTCATTCACTTCCTCTGTTTCTCTCTTGGCTCTCACTCTCTCACTCACTCACTCCGCTCGCTCTCTCCCTCTCTCCCGTTCTCTTTATTCTAAGAGTTCCAGTCACTTACAGTATGTTTTCCTTTGCCTATCCAGTCTCCAGTCACTTTCCATACCCATTTCTTTCACTCCCCTTTTTGTTTGCTTTTCGAGTGTTCCGGGGGGTTCGCCCTGGGGAAATTTGTGTATTTTGTGTTTGCGAAACGAGGGGCGGGGTATGCGAATGTATGCAGGCAGGGCTGCAGCACTTTTCAGCCGAAACGCCCACCCTGGCCATGGTGTGGGCCCCCAGGGTGTGGGACACTACATGGACCCACACTGGTGTCATTTTGTCACAAAGTTTTTGGAACAGTAGATCGTACTTTTACTGAAAAACGTACTTTGTGTACTACCGTACCTTGCTTAGTGTCTGCACATTAAAAATACAGTATTTCCACGTGGCTGTGTCCCTTTAAAGTCTTTAAGATCTTTTCGTAGACTTGTCAAATGCGCGGATATCTTTTAATATCTAGCATAAATGCGTGTCTTGCCATAAGCTTTTAGCCTCCCAACTATCCGCTTAAAGGAGCGGGTAAGGCATCGGCACGCGATGGACGCTCGGAAAAAATTCTGCTTAGTGGTACCGCGATACGCAACGCGCGCGCCCGAATTTCCATCGCGTGATGGGTTACCTTGCTATAAAATGCTTCCAATGACATGCGCGTTGCGTGTTGTAGGCGGAAAATATGCTAACTCCATTGTCATGTCCTTCATGTCCATTTATTTCTAGCTGCACCATGTTTGTCTGGTCCCAACTACTTTAAGATACCATGTACAAAGCTCAAGAACCCTAAAGTACCAATTTTACATTTCCGTCTCTACCTCCAGCCACCCGATTCTAAGACCCATGTTTTTTGCCGGATTGCCCCTCGCACCGGTCTTGTCCAAATGCACGAACATGGCCAAAACCAGCGCCGCGGTATGGCTCGGATGGTTACACGCAATTCCGCCCCCGATACGGCCCCGCCTGAAAGTGTCCTTACACGAACATCACACACAACACTAGGGAGGAAACACAGAAATGGACAAACACACAGGACCCACCACCCCTCCCGAAAGGACCCGGTTTCGGTGCCAACGCGCAGACACACTACAGGGCCCACCACCCGGGCAGTGGTGTAGGAGATGAGTGGCCCAATTTGTCTGTGGTTCTCTGGCTACCTCTCTCTCATCTCTCCCTGTCTCTCTCTCTCTGCTTTTTTCTATCGCCGGGCAGCCGGCTAGTGGCCGGGCGGCCAATTATACGGACTGCTGGTAGGATCAGCGCGTAGAAACAAATTTGGCGTCTTGCCAGCTTTGCGTTTGACGTTTGATGTTTATGGAATAAGGATTTTAAAGGCACTATCGTACAACCGTAGCCAATCGGAAAAGACGTAGACGACTGAAAAATCTACAAGAAACGCAAAATGTTTCATGAGGCTAAAGGATCTCTGCTAGTTGGTTTTACCAAGGTTTTTACCTGTGACCCTCCCTTTATTCCCAAAGAATCGCTGCTCGCTGCCCTTTTCCATCATTGAACGCAACTCCGAATTGCTAAATTCACTATCGTTCCTTTGTGAAAATTTTCCATATCAGCGTGGCCCCTCGAAACTACACCGAACACCTATAGACACTTTTTCTATTTTCGCTTTGCTCCAAATTCCACTACCTTCGCATTTGACACCCGCCATAGAAACCATTACACCCCCCGGAAATCGTCTCCCTCATTGTAGTCCCAAAAAAAAACAAAATAAGCCCCCTCGACCGTAACCCGCTTTTCACCGCGATATTTTGACCATGCGCTCCAAAAGCAGGTTTTTCTCGTGCTCTCTCCAGACTCAGAAAAAGTAAAAGCCCGAGAATGGACGATGTTTCAGTGTTTCCCACTCCCTATCTGTCTGTTTATGTCTATTTATGCGTGTGTCCACTTTTCCGAGGGCAATTGTTGTTGCTCTCGTGCTCCCCATTTCCCGCCAGCGTTCCACCACGGCATCAAGCAACGCTGGGCGACTCTGGACGACCTGTTCCTCCCGCGCGGCTCTCGACCAACTCGAGAACCTGACAACTTGGCATATTTTCACCCGAATGGTGGTGGTCGGCGGCTCGTGCGCTTGATCGGCAAGATAAGCCGGATTTTGGCCGGGATTTGAAATAAAGTGTTTTAATTTTTGGCTCCTGCTTGGGCTGGTGTATTTTAAGCGGGATACGCTGTGTTTCTCTGCTTCTCGCGCTACCTCTTTGCCGCTAACTATGTCTCCTACTCTAAAATTTTTTAGCTCTCTTTCTTTCTCTCTCTCTCTCTCTCTCTCTCTCTCTCTCTCTCTCTCTCTTCTCTCGCTCTCTCTCTCTCGCCCGTTTTATCTCATCTCCCGACTTGGATGAGCTTGAAATATTTTCTATACACCTCCCGCCCCTCAAATATCCTTTTTTACCTATCCCAACGGACCCTAAAAACAGATCCACGAAACTGGATTTTTACTGTACATCATTCGACGGCTGGACCCTCATCCTCAAGTTGCCATTTTCGGGGTAGCGGAGCTCTGATCCTGAGTTTTGAAGATTACGATACTTTCCGCAAGCACGATTTTACCCTACCTTACCCAAAGTTATTTTGGAATCTCCAGCTCGGTCCACATTCACAAAATACCGAAAGGAAATAATTTCGTTCACGCAATCCGCCGGCGGTTCAGCGCCTTAAACCGGGTGGAGACAGTCTCGCCCTCCCGTATCAGATGACCTAGTGGATATGGTCTGTCGGTCGGAACAAGCGCTGCTCCTCCTCCTCCTCCTCTTCCTCATGCTCCTCCAGTCTCGAACTGGCGGTTCGGCTTCCACCCCCTTTCCCTTTTCACAACCAACCCAGGGAAACGAAACCCTTTCCATGTTCCGCACCATTTTCGGGCTAATTAATTGGCATATGCTTCCTGATTTTTCGCTTTTTTAGAATTTGCATCTTCTGGCTATTTTTGACGATTCGAACACGGATTTTTACTGAGCTAAAAAACCTTGAAATTCCATAATTAGTTTTGTTATCTTATTTCTAAAGGGAAGGCGACAGGAAAATTCGGGAAATTCAGCGTAAATATGAAAATTCATAAATAATTTTCAGAAAATTAAATTGTAACTCGCTGCTGAGAATCTCGATTCAAATTTTTTTCTTAATTACAAGCAAAATCTCACGATAATTTTCGCTGTATTTTTTTGCTTTGCTAAAATTTTTTTGTTTTGTT